AGGTCCAGGTTCATTACTGAAGAACAGAGGTTCATCTTTGGACCAGTCACTCTTCATAGACAGACAGCTGGGGACTGGAGACTCTGCTCTCCGTCTGTAGGACTCACCTCTGCAAACACAAACATGTTTCATTCATATTATTTCAGTATTGTTCTTGTTTGTTTGGTTTTCATTTTAATTTAAATGGTAAATATTTGTATTGCTGGAAAACCTTAAGTAAACTACATTTGTTTAATTTTATAATGTTGTCTGGTGTCAGTTAATAAGTTAGAACAATTGTATTGGTTTTGATTATTTTTGAATATCAGTAACAGTAATATCAGATTACTTAAAACAGCTAAACCTTTGGGTAGCTACTTTAACACCAAACGAACCCAAAATCACCCCATTAGTCTAGGGTACAGTGGGGTGCTACATGTTCAATGTCTAAATGGTGTTTTATTGTTGTTTTAATTGTGTATTTTTGAGCTGTTGTCACCAAGTTAAATTCCTGTGTACTGTGTACATTTGGAGAATAAAAGTGATTCTGATTCTGATCTGGATAAAAAATAAGGCAGTAAAACTTTGGTGACAAAAAAACAACAAACAAACAAACAAACAAACAAATATCCAGATGTGTCACACACTGTGGAGACGCTCAGATGGTCACAGAGCGACTTCAACATGAGGGCAAAGACAAATACTTTCTCAAATGATTAATTCTGACATGGAGATTCACACTAATCAGCATCATGAATGTAAATATCTCTCTTACTGTGTGTGTGCAGGTCCAGGTTCATCACTGAAGAATGGAGGAATATCTCTGGACCAGTCACTCTTCATAGACAGACAGCTGGGGACTGGAGACTCTGCTCTGTGCTCCTCTTCCTCCACATCACTCATCTTCTTGATGACTTCAGTCATTCTGAGAGGGAAACCAGTAACACACTGACCGTGAGATAACACACACACACACCGCACGCATGCACGCGCGCACACACACACACACACACACACACACACACACACACACACACACACACACACACACACACACACACA